TAACACTGGAAAAGAACTGAAAAAGGAATAATTTCTCAGAATTAATGTATGGGTGGGACACCATTTCCCCAACAAGATAACTTTGCTTTGTGAAGCATACACTGACTTGCATGCTATTTTCCAAGTCAAGAAAGAGTAGTAAGTGTTCACTATAGAAAGCTGTGTGTTGGATGGTGATTGTTAACTGGTACTTGAAAATTATACAATTAAATGTCACTTTAATAAAATCCCTAGCTACTGGCACAGACAGCCTACTGCTGTTGGTCAATGAATGCAGGTCTATACAAGAATAGAAAGCTGTGGCTCTAGCACTGAAATCAGTTTTTTCAGAGATATCAAGTTTTCTTCCTGACCTTGTTATAATGACTAAGAATGAAAACATTCCTCTGTATGTTAAAATCTTGTTAAACTTCCAGCTGAAACACTCAGTGTTTACATTCAAGCATGTAAAAACTTCTCCAAACAAATATACCATGGTAAATATATATTGAAAGTTTTACTAATAACTATTTCTGAGGCTTTAAGACACTAGAAAATTTATCATGAGATACCATGAAGATTCTTTTACTATGTTTAGCCAATCCTATCAATTAATATAGCTCTAAACAAAAACAAAGTGACCAGTAATTTAAAAAAGCAGTCTTAAATCATATTATTTAGATGATATGTATTTATATCACCAATATTCTTTCAATATCATTTATGTGCCAGAAATTGTTCAAGACACTAGGGATATAGTAGTAAACAAAAGCAAAGCTCCCAATTCTCAGATTTCTAGAAAGTAAATATAAACCTTATCGGTAGTTTCATATTCAGTGTTTCTGCCCACCTCTGGGCCTCTTACTTTCCTGAATTCCTCTGTTCCAATGATCCCATCTCCTGTCCTTTGGCCAGATCCTAAATCTTGTCATTACCAGTAATGTCAATCCCCTCATTTCAAGCATCTTACTCTTTGATCACTACTTCAATCTTAACAATCTCTTGACCCTACTAAAACCAAGAATTAATTGATCCTACCCGTCTCCACCCCACATTTCATGGTCATTCTGTCCCTTGCATAATACTCCTTTGCATATACCCTCAACATTTAGCAAAACTTTTTAGTTCACCCACTTTAAGAGTCACCTGTAAACATCTAGGTTAAAAATGACTAGAAAAAACCATCACAATGACTAATTTCATTTAAAATTCATTATCAGGTACCATGAGTCACATACTTCCCTAATTCCTTTCCTCTTTCATAATCTCCTACACCTACCTCCTTCACTCTTAATTCAGGTGGTGTCCCAGTTTCCTGACAACAATCAGGGAATAGTTTCCCCTAGTTTATATTATATCTGTCTTCCTCCCCACTTATCTGCCTCCCACATCTTGATCATTCCATCAAGTCAGTGAACTTTCATTATTTCTCTCACCTTAACATCTTTTTATTCTACCAGTGACCCCTCTTCTCTGGTCTCTTTTTAAAAAAGTCTACAATGGCTGACTATAATAATGCTCTTCACACTTTAAACATACTGAACTCTATATAACAATTTTATTCTCATCATGCTATCTAAAATGTGTTGGAAATCACCAAAGACTAAAATTAAAACTGGAGGATAATTTTCAGTTTTCATTCATTTGACCTTTCAATATCAACTACTTTTGAACTGGTTTCTAGGATATCACCATTCTTGCCCCTCTAGTTTCACATTCTTTGACCCTCCTCCCTAACTCTGCAGTTATACAGGTTACCTTTCAGCCTGTTTTATCCACTGCTCAATCCCCACTGAGTGCAACGCACATGGCATAACACCAACACTTAGTAAATATTTGTTGAATGAATATGTCATCTCTGTGTAGGGGAATCTAAACTGATCAACTACAGACAATAAAAGCCAATGTACCTTACTATCTATTGCCCACTTAAAGAGTTTCCTGAGTTTATGCTGAAATAATTATAATAAAAACTTTATTAGTGCATTTCATTAAAGATCAGAACAGGATGGCTTGCATGCTTTGAGTGAATCAAGTAAAATAACCTTAAGTTTAACTCAGTTAAGAGTTACAGAAAACAAAATGATCTGAAATGTTTGTTTTCACAAAAACATTTGATGAAACAGCAACTCCAGGCCTGTCTCCAAAGGTCATCCTGAAGTGCCCAAGAGTAGAACCAGTCTTTCACCACTCACTTCTGGTGTAGTTTCTAGCATGTAATAAATACTGAAGCATCTAATGACTGAAAATCAGCTCATTATATGGCATTTCCATTTTCCTCTTTAAAATTAACTGAACTTAAATCTCTTGTCCAAAAACACTGAAATTAAGTAAGTCTGCAATACGTGTTTGTGAAGTATTAATTGCTATATCATAGCTAAGATGCAATGTCAGACACAGAGTGAGCTCAGTGCTATACATCACCTGAAGCAGATGGACTAACAACAGAAAAACACACAACTTAGACCATGGCTAATACTTACACAAGGCAGCTGAGGTCTGCCAGATCATCAATAAAATCAAACAACTGGCTGATATCATATGTAATAGAAGGGCTGTTGGGATTCATTCTCTTCAGATGTTCTTCATACATTTTACAAACACCTAAGAAAGGGGAGAAAACCAAGATCTTTTAATTCCATAAACTTTATAGAGGGAAGTTTCAGATGCTGATATCATACTTATTTTTATAAAGTGGGGTTGGGAAAATAACAGTAACTCAATCACTCTGTTTTTAATTATTCCATTAACAAATGTTATAATTCTCCAGAACATTGTTAAGTTATTGTGCTGCAGTAACAAAACAGTACTCAAAACATTGGGTTTTGAAGGACTTTATAAAACTTTGACATATGCTTCAAGTAAGTGATGACACAGTGGATCCTACCAGGTTTTCAATGAGTAACTATTCCTAAAACCTCAGAGTAAATAAAAACAACACAATTAAGAATAATGAATGAAAAAATAATTTCAAGCTTTGATACAATTTGTATGATAGTAAGGGTAAGGAGCAAAGATAAAGAGATTATTTAACAGTCCTTGAATGCCAGGATGCTGGATTTAGACTTGAATTTCAGCCCTGCTCTTTACTAATGACTTCAGAGCCCAATCATAAAATGGAGATAGAAATCGTATCTCTTCATAGAGCAACTATGAAGATTATATAAAATAATACGAAATAGCAATCATGACCACCACATCCTACACTGTCAAAAATTTCGTAAGTATGTAAAACAATGGTACTTCATTAAAGTTAAGCCTACTCCGCTCCCCACTCTGTGTCTGGTGAATCCTATAATCCCTACAACTCTGGGCTATACCCTAGAATTTGTTTGCAAAATAAATAAATCTTAAAAAAAAACAACAAACACAAAAAACTCTTGTTATAATGAATGGACAATCACCAAAAATTTTATCTGGGAAACATATCCTATTCTGTATGCATGTCCTTCATATAGCTCGTGACTGACTTAATAAATTTCCTAGTAAAAAGTAATATTCAATCAGTGCTGTCAAAATCCATCTTAGGATTTAAAAAAAAGATTATTTATGCTTACAGAACTGGGGTACAGGCCAGAGGTGCAGGGAGAGGATTCACCAGAGACAGAGTGGGGAGCAGCAGGCGGGTCAGAAGAGGTCTGCCACACCATATGGGTCAGCTCCCTGGCCAGGGATCAAGCTCGTGCTGCAGTGGCTTCAGAGAACTTCATAATGCAGTGCTTTAATTCTTTGCACCACCAGGGAGAGCCCCATCTTAGGATTTTTAATTGCCACTGGTATGCTGTGATCAGAGAATAATCCTCATGAGTCACTGAAGAAAAAGGTCAAATAATAAAGGAATAAAACCTAGGAAAATTAATTCACCACTGATGCTGTGATCCACAGCTATTATCATACTTAATGGTAAAAGATGGATGCCTCCCTATTCAGATGAGGAAGAATCCTAGACTGGGACGTAAGGTCAATATACAAAAATCTATTTCTTCACCTCAATAATAAACAACCTGAAAATGAAATTAAAAAAAAAAATTCCATTTATAATAGTATCCCCCCCAAAAGATCAGATTTCTTAGAAGTAACTAAAAGAAATATAAGATATAGACTGAAAACTACAAAATGTAATTGAAAGCACAGGTTGAAATGGAGTATTTCTGGTCAAAGGATGGGGGAACTTAGTAATAGATTCCCTCTCAAAGTCAGAGCAATTTTGTAGAAATGGGTAAGTCAATTCCAAGCATGATATAAAAATACAAGGGACCTAATGTAGCCCAAATAATCTTAAAAGAATAAAGTTCTAAGACTCACACTTCTCAATTCCAAACTTACTAGGAAACTACAGTAATCAAAACAAGACACTGTAATACTGCGTATGCAGAAAGCTCAGCATACTGATAAGTGAGTTAAGTTCAGAAGTAATTCCTTACATTTATGATCAATTATGTTCCGATAAAGGCCATGAAGACAAGAACAGTCTTCAAAATGCTAGGATAACAGCATGTTCCCATGCAAACGAATGACGTTGCACCCATTTAACAATATGAAATGGCCTAGAGATTTAAATATAAGAGTTAGAACTATATAATAAAACTCTTGTGGAAAAAACACAGGCACAAATTTTTGTAGATTTGGATAAGGCTACCATCTTTTCGATGTGACACCAATGCACAAACAAGAGAAGAATATGTAAGTTGGATTTCACAAATTTTAAACCTTTTGGGCTTCAAAGACCATTATCAAGAAAGAGAAAAGATAAAGCACAGACTGGGAGAAAGTCTTTGCATAACATATATGAGATCAAAATACACAATGTAATTAAAAATGGACCAGTGATTTGAATGGACACTTTACAGAGATTCTCAAAAATAAAGAAGCACATGAAAAGATGTTCAACATCACGTCATTAGGAAACTACAAATTAAAACAATGAGATAGCATGTAAATCTACCAGAATGCCAAAGTACTAACACCAAATGCTGTCAAGATTGTGGAACGGGGCCTCCCTGGTGGCACAAGGGATGAAGTACCAGTATTATCAAGTCTCACAGCCAACGCAGCACGAGTTCGACCCCCCCACCAGGGGCCTAACCCATGTGGTGCAGCAGATCTCTCAGCACTGCTCCTCTTCGCAGTAAATTCCAGTAGATCTGCCTTTCCTGCTCCCCACTGTCTCTGGTGAATCCGCTCGCCTCCCATACCTTTGACCTATACCCCAGTTCTTGTATGCATAGTAAAATAAAAATAAATCATTAAAGATCAGTGGCTACCAGAGGCACTGGGGGGAGGGAAAAAAAAAAAAGGTAGAGTAAAGGGCATTTGGAAGGCTACTGCCTTCCAGATACATGTTAAAAGAAAAGTGAATACCAGTATAAACTATGGGGCTTTAGTAATAATACTGTATCACTGTTGGTTCTGCAATTGTAACAAATACACCACATTAACACAAGATGTAAATAGAGAAACTGAGGATACCCTCAGGAAGGAAAAAGGGTTATGACTGAATTCTCTATTTTTTTTTTAAAGAAATACTATTTAAAGAAAAATTGTAAAGTGATCATTTTGCAATTCTTCCAATGTGACAATTCCATTTAACTTCCTAAATGGACATTAAGTGACTTTTGTAACTAAAAAAAAAAAAAAAAAAAACCTACCACCACACAAAGACATGGAAAAATCTAAAATGCATGTTGCTAAATGAAAAAAATCAGTGAGAAATGGCTACATATTAACAATGATTCTAATTATGTGAACCATTATTTGCCTGGAAGAGCAAAATTTTAGGTCAAGATTACCACTGGTTGCCAGGAGCAAGGGATAGGGTATCATGGGATTAAGCTTGAGTTCTTAAAGCAGCGAATCTATTCTGTATGGCACTATAAAGGTGGGTACATGAAATTATGCATTTGTGTAAAAATCACAGAACACTACGCAAAACTCCAATGTAACCCATGAACTTTAGTTAATAATAACATCCATGTATCACTACTGGTTCATCAAATGTAACAAATGTACCACACCAAGGCATTAAGAGAGCAAATGGTGTGGCAGTGGGTAAGGGAGTACATGGGAACTCCCAGTACATTCTGTTCAATTTTTGGTAAATCTAAGACTGACCTACAGTATATTTTAAAAAAAGTTAGACTCTCCTAAGATAGCATGTGCACAAAGAAACCCTAACTGGCAAGCAAGAGTATCTGTAAGAGGAAGGGACCTGGAAAAAAAGGAACCCCTCTTTAAAAATGAAAACAAAGGCCCTCCCTGGTGGCGCAGCGGGTTAAAGCACAGCAATGAGAATCTAAAGCCGCTTCCGCATGAGTTCAATTCCCGCCTGCCCCGGAGGTGACCACATGGCTGGCAGGCCTCTCCTGACCCGCCCGCTGCTCCCCTCAGCAGTGTAATTCGTCGATCTGCCTGTTCTGCTCTCCACTCTGTCTCTGGTAAAGCCTCTTGCCGCCCCTGAGCCTCTGGCCTGTACCCCAGTTCTGTATGAATAAATAAATAAATCTTTAAAAAAAAAAAAAAAATTGTTGAAATAGGCCCTCCCTGGTGGCGCAGCGGGTTAAAGCACAGCACTGAGAATCTGAAGCCACTTCCGCATGAGTTCGATTCCCGCCTGCCTCCTGCCCAGGAGGAGACCACATGGCGAGCCAGACCTCTCCTGGCCCGCCCGCTGCTCCCCTCAGCAGTGTAATTCGTCGATCTGCCTGTTCTGCTCTCCACTCTGTCTCTGGTAAAGCCTCTTGCCGCCCCTGAGCCTCTGGCCTGTACCCCAGTTCTGTATGCACAAATAAATCTTTAAAAAAAAAAAAAAATTTTTTTTTTGTAAAGAAATGAACAGATCAATTGGGTAGAAAAGAATGAATCCTATTCATGACAATCCAATCTATGAACTCATATCTAAAAGTGTAATGAGTAAAAAGGGTTAATATTTTCTTTCAGCTTATCAAATGCATAAATCTTGTCCGACATCATTTGCCAATTTTTTCTTATTATTTTCTAACATTCTGGACTATACCCAATCTTAACAGCTTTTAATGTTAGTTTAAATAAGATTATTAGCCAGAATGAGATACCCTGTAAAAATTTACATGAAACAAACAAGTATTGCTTATAACAAGTAACAGTATATATTTGCAGTAGGAAAAGAAAGTGTATAGAATTGTTTCAAATATTCAACAAATATGGTCCTAATCATGTACTTTTGTTGCTCATATTAAAAATTGTTGAAATATATCGAATACCACAAGCCCAATTCCTGAATGAAACATTCTAGTTGTCAATGTCAGAAAAAAAACCTCAACGATCTCTGCCTCGTGGTTAGTGTTAACTCACCTTCCATGCACTCATTCACAGATTCATAGTCAGCATAAGTTCTGCCTTCTGGCCTCTTAGTAGGCTGGACCAGCAAAATGGTGTGAGACTAGGGGAAAAAAAGTGATGTCAATAAAAGCTTCTAACTTATGTTTGAGAAATTCATAGTTTAACATCAAATCCCTATTCATGACAATTGATTTGGTTACTAAGACATTATGAGGGTGCTCTCCTACAATATGCCTTTGTCCAAGAGTGGCCTCAAGCTAGATTCACAACTGCTCTGGAAGATCTTAAGTCTCTAGCCTTTAATGGCTGCTTTCTCAAACTTCTATTGTACTTACAGTCAGTAAGTGTCAGCATAACCTACCCAATACTGTTTTTCGTTCTCATCTTTCTTCTCAACTAAATCACAAACCTGTTTAGGTTTCCATAGCTCCACGGGTCACTTTCAATCTGTAGTGCGACAAAATGCCTAATAAAAATCCAGATATGGGAGGGGGATGAGAGAAAAAGGGAAGCACTATGCAAGCACTTGAGTCAATCTATGTTCTTTTTCTGTGCTTAGCAACATAGTGGAACCATATCTTATGCAGGGGGGTTAGACTCAAACATCAAAGCATAAGATAAATTAGCAATATAAAATATATATTTTTAGTTTACATTACCCTAGGAAATCTTTAAAGTACTTGCCTAGTAGATTACTCAACTTCAAGGGGACATATACTGAAATCAGGTTATTTTTAAACAACAGAATCACACAAAATGATCTCACTACAAAAAATGTGAATATGCCTAACACACTGTTACCTCCTGCTACCAGGGTGCAAGGTTTTGCGTTAGCAACACTGTTACTGGATGGTTCTTGTTGTATTAGGCACTGTAGCATGTTTAGCAGCATCCTTGGCCTACACCACTCTTAGCCCCACCCCCATCTGCAAAGTCCTGACAATCATTTTGTCTGCAGAACTCACACTATTGAAAATTATGCTTGGAAAATATAAGAAGCAACCTTATCATAAACCCAACCCCAACAAACTACTCACACTCTTTTCTCTTGCTGTAGTATTGGGGGGTGGGGGGAGGGGTGTGTCAAAAAATATTTCTTTAATGACAGGGTGTCAAACTGTTTTGTAACAAGTTTTAGCTGTTAACAAATCAGAACTAAATAGCTAGTGCCTAGATTTCAAAGTGAGCACCAAAAAACCTTGAACAAAATATAAAAAGCAAAGGATTAACATATTTTCCACATCCCTCATCCAGGACTGAGTCATTTTTAATTCATTTGAGTTTGCAATAAAAATAGAACTTAGTACCAGATGAGGGGCTTCTCACTTATAATGACCTGAACAGTCAAAACTTGTTAAAAAAAAAAAAAAGCAACTAAATCAAAGAAAACATTCAATTAGATTATTTGTTAATTAAAAAATGTTTAAGCCACCTCTTCAAAAACAAAAGGCTATTTCAAAGGGTCATATGGGGGGAAAAATTATTTATGGAAACCAAGTTAGCATTCCTACAATAGGACTTGCTCTGTACACTAATTGTACTTACCATAGCCATTTTTCTAACTTTAATAAAAATTAAAGGATTGACTTATTTAAAAGAGTAAAGATGTAGAAAGGCTAAACAGTATACTGCTCTTTTATATCTAGTCTTGAACCTGTGGCAAAGTTCACTAGTTTCACTACTTCTTTTCCAAAGCAAAGATTAAGCACTAAGAATTAAAAAATGACTAAATAACAAAACTGTAGTCAAAATGAATATTATTCTTATGTGGCAAGGCTATCCTATTACAAGTTGTTTAAGACCATGATAGTTTTGATCACTTTCTTCTTATTGGGGCTATTTCCGGAACTATTTAGTTTTATTGAAAGTCCAAATATTTTTCTTATCAGCTTTTCCCTTCTTCTGGGAAGACTTAGTTCTTGCCTTCTTTACCATCTTCTTTCTCAGGGAAATAAGAAGTACAAAAATATATAATGTAAAATTGTAAATACATATGTAGAATATGTGTCAACTTACATTTGTCATAATAGGAAATAAGATTATGACACAAGTGGAGGGAAAAAGTTAACCAGAACTACCTTAATGAAATCCTCACCGATTACAAAAACAGTTATCACTCTTCAGAAGCATTAACTTTGTTGTATTAACTTTTAAAGTTTCACAAACATGAGCCCTAATAAGCCACTCTAATGTCGCTGAAATATTACACTGCAATTTGCTCATTAGCTTTAAATGCTTCCTCTGGAAAAAAAAAAAAACACACAAAAAAACATAAAACTGGAGCTCTCATCTCCAATAAAGCAAAAGTATTTTAACACTTGAAATGTCAGCTGTTATCTCAAACACAAATTCCAAATTTTAATTCTACTAAGACTGACTTGGAATTACCACTAACACCTGTCAAACAAGAAGGGGTTAACATTAACTGTTGCCACTTTCTCAGATTTTATATAACAGCGTTGTAACTCAACACCAAATAGTGACATAAAAAGAGATGAAAACTCTGCAGTGACTTACCCAAGGTCACATTGCTAGTTAGGACAAAACATGAAATGGAAACCCTGTCTTCTAATTCCAGGCCCTCTTTGGGAGACTATGTTACATTAATCATTTCAAGATATCAATTCAGAAAAATACAAACTGAAAACGTTCCTCGTTAACAATGCTGCGTAACTTAGTAAAAACTGCAGCAACCAGAAAACCAAAGCTTAAGTGTGGGCAACCAGTATTCTTCAGAATCTGAGGAGTCACTGAGCAAGATGTGAGCATCTTCCTTTTGTGGACTAGGACGAGTGTGGGGGGGAGACAAACCCACCCCTTTCCACCACCACCCAGTCAGGATTGCAAGGGGCCTGCGCTGCCCATCTTTTCGGTCTCCAATTCCAAGAGAATATAAATGAGATTAAGAACAGGAAGGAAGGGGACCCTCCCTGGTGGCGCAACGGGCTCGGACACAGCACCGCATGCCGAACCACAGCTACCTCAGCGCGAGTTTGATCCCCACCTCAGTTCGATCCCCACATGGCATGGCAGACCTCTCCTGACTCGCCCGCTACTTCCCTCAGCAGGGTACCTCCTCGCCTGCCCGTTTTGCTCCCCACCCTGTCTCTGATGAACCCTCTCACCGTCCCTGCATCCTTGGCCTGTACCTCAGTTCTGTATGTATAAATAAAATAAATCTTAAAAAAAAAAAAAGAACAGGAAAGAAGGTTGAAAGAAAGGCTAAAGCGGGCATCTACGAGTTTTAGAAAGGAGAAAAGTTATATGTATAGTCTAAAAAGCAGAGCACGGAAAAATGAGAGGGAATATTTGAGAAATCACACTACAAAGCAAAGACGACCTCTCCTGGAGCTGGCGGCAATAAATCCAATCTGTCAGCTTTTGGTACTGGTTTGTCAAACACCCCTCGGCCATTGTTCCCTCAGAAGTCAAGAACCTTTACAAGGCAAGAGCATCGCCCCACCCTTGCCTCTACTAGGCAGCAATGAGGAGAAAACGCATCCTCAGGCCCGAAGCGCGCCTCGCCGAGCAAGCAGGCGGGCGCGCGATCTTAGGGCGGTCCCGGGTTCCGGGGCCTAGTGCCAGGCCAGGCGGTTCGCGGCGGGAAGGGGAATGGTCGCCTCACAGCCAGAGCCGGGAAGCAGCACTTTCGCGCTAGACGGGGTGGGCAGAAGAGATACAGGGCTGGGGTGACCCAGGAGCTGGAAAATCGGGGAGCCGCTCAGGCCTTTCTCACCATCGCGCCAAACTCTTTCGCTGCAACCTCTGCCGACTCCGCTGCCGCACGCGAGCTTAGAGGCAACGCCGCCAACAGCCAATCCCCGCGAGAGGAGCCGCCGGAAGTCGTCAGAAGTGCACGACGTAAGAGCCTTTTTTAGACCATAGAGACACATACATTTCCGGTAGCTAGAGAGGACGTGACTCTGTTTCAGCCATCTTGGATATGGGCGATGAGCTACATAGACAGTATTTCGGAGCTTGAAAAGCAATGGTCTTTTCTCAAGATGCTGTCTTCCGTACTCTTTTTACTGGGTATGCGACTACCAATATAAATAGTAACCACCAATATATACAGTGATACAAGCCATCTTTCATTATCCCTATTCAAAAATGGCGGCAGTATAAAAATCGCGGGCCATAGGTCGGTTGTAACCCGGAAGCGTCCTTCTCAAGAAGTGGGCGATGAGGCAATCCGGAAGTGGATGTGATGAAGAGGTGCCACTTGGCGGCCATGGCAGCTGTAGTATCGGAGGCTCCGGGTCAAGGCCCAGCGGAGTGGAATAGTATGGGCAGCACCGGGTATAGGGCAGAGAGAGCTTTGTATCACCCTTGCTATTGAGCCCTGAAGACCTGTCGTTGGAGGCCTACAGGACTCCTCTCCTCATTCTAGACTTGGAGAGAGTTTGGGGGGCTCGTCCCAGCCCTGGGGGAGTCACTGGATAGGGGTTTGCCCCAGAGAGAGAGGGCACCGAGAGAACGAACAGATTCGCTAGGGTTTTCCTCCCGCTCTGCTGCCACCTCGGGGGCGTGGGCCCGTTGTCCCACCCCTCGTTCCTATGAGACAGGAAATCGCTTGTTTGAGTGTTTTCCCCGTACGCTTGCTGTCTCTGTTAGCCCGCGGGATTCAGTGACTGGTATCTGAAAACCCAGGACTGGGATTTAGGATTGCTGGGAGTTTGGTCTGTGTCTTTATCAGCAAAAAGGGGCTGTTTCCAGTTGCGTTGAAGAAAAGGTGCCTGGTGAACACATCCGCTGGTGGGAAGGACGAAAGACCTGGAAAGCGCACTTATTCTCTTGGAACCACGACACGTGTTTAAGAATCTAAGCACCCTTTGAAGCCTGTGAGAATTTGTAATCTGTTGGTGGTGGGTGAATAAAGGAAGGCATGATGGATGATTTCATCTCCATTAGCCTGCTGTCTCTGGCTATGCTGGTAGGATGTTACGTGGCTGGAATCATTCCCTTGGCCGTTAATTTTTCGGAGGTAAGAATTTCTTGATTTTCTGTTAGCTATCAGAATGGCTGTTGGAAATTAGTGATACTTGTAAAGGGAAGTTGCTTCCCCAGTTAATCTCAGAGCTAAAGATCTTATTAAAGAAAACGATCTTTAAAAGAAGCGTAACATTTTATAATGGAAACAAACACATTCAACATACAGTTCTTGAGGTGCGTGAATCCACGAAATCCCGGTGGTATTCTGAACTCCCTGAAGTTGTAATAAAAAATTGGCGCTTTGTTTATTTTCCTGGAAAGAGAGGCCATAACATTTTGATTTACAGAAGTCAAGAGGAATGAAAATTCCAGACTGCTATCAAGAAAAATAAAGGGAGGACGTTATTTGACATTAGTTGAAATTGTTTTGTTTTGTTTGAGAAAATCAAGTATTTTTTTTGGGGGAAAGGTAGATTTTTGGGATACCTGTGTTAGAATGAAGAAAGTTAAAAATACTAAATAAACTATGTAGTTCTTAACCTACATTTCCTTTTAAAGAAAGAACATTGGAGTGGATATTAGAAGTTGTTTTCAAATCTCTTTGCTTAGAAATGCATTTCTTAAAATATGTCTTGACATTTTGGCTATTTTGTTGTCATTACTTGAACAGAGGGACAAAAGATAGATGAAAGTATTGTTCAATGAAAATGCAAATAGATTCTTCAGATTGTCATAAAGGATTCACATCACCTACTGGGCACAGAAATTTAGGATGCAAAAGCTAGATGCTGAGGGAACAGGATTCTGAGTATTCCCCAGGATTCAGCAGTAAAAGAGGCTTGTGTTTTCAAAGTAGAGGGCAGAGGAGAAATGGACATAGATGACGTGTGAAGTAGACCTTGACACCTCAGGTGTAACGCCTGATGGTAAAGAAAATATCCTATATGGGGGGAAAAAAGTGGGAACAGGCATTCTGAGTATGAGAAATAGTAAAGCTCACAGCCAGCTGGAAGGGAGGCCTGGATTGTTGCTACTCTTTCATTTACTTCTTAAAAATCTGTATCCTTCCTCCTCTATTGATAGCATAAAGTGAAATTTCTTCAACATGTGCCTTGTCTGACTTCATTTTTAAAACTCTGAGGTGCAGGTGAGGAAGACTAGACTCAGTAGTTTGTTTCTCACACAGCTAAAGTCTAATAGAGTTAGGCCTGTTTCTAAATCTAGGTTTTTCTGACTCAGGGCAGATTTAGCGACTTAGTTGTTGCAAAGCTGCATGTACCAAATCTGGTCCACAGATTTACCTTGTTGGATTAGCAGAATGCGTAGTTTTATTAGTTTTTTTGTCTGTATTCTCTGAAGGCAACAGTTAGGTAGAGCTGAGTAGCCGTAGATTGTTGTGATCCTTCCTTGACTGTGAAGTGTACCTGCCTGCCCAGTACTCTGACCCTGCCATCTTTCCTCAGACATAACTACATTTTCTTATAACTACGTTATAAAAATCAGTCAAGATTATAAAACATATTTGTGGGGCTTACACTAATTTGTATATTTTAAAACTTGGTGAAGTAACATCAAGAATTGTATTTGTTAAGAAACTGTTTTTATTTAAGATGTCTCGAATCTTTCCAATTTCAGTATTTTAACTATCTTAATGATTTTTGCAATGTGCAGGTACTGAGTTAAAAGGAAATGTACATGTTAATGTAATAAACCAGGCTGTTAAAGACAATTAGTATGTCATGTCATTTATAGCTAATTAATGGTCAAGAGGTCTTTCCCAGCTGTAGGTCTTAAAATGCTATAAATAAATCAGCATTTATAAAATCTGCTTATTACAATATGAACAATGCATTTTGAAATGTAGAATAAAAGTGGTATAACTTAAAGTTACTTTAGAATTCAACTGGTGTTTTCTTCTAGGAACAAAGCATTTTTTCTAGACTATTAGTCTAGACCATAAGTACTATTAGACTGTTAGTAGAGACCAATGTATTGTGAAATTAAAGAGAGAAAATCTATAAAAATATACTTCATTCATGGAGTCTGGGAATCACAATTTCTATCCTTAGACCTTAACTCCTCAAATTCCTACATTTACAAAATAACACTCCTTTTAAAGAAAATTTAGTTTTACCTAAGGACTAGTGATATTATAAAGGAGAGGTCCAGTAAACTTATATACTTTCATTTACATAAAAATAAATGCTTTTATTTATCTCCCAGCTTTTGTGGCTGCTTTGTCTGTCAATGCTTTTTTCAGAATTTCTCAGAGCAGGAATGAAAGGTCAGTAAAACTGTTGATTGTGGCAGGATTAGTATTTAGAAATGAGTTAGAGCAAGCAGGCTGAAGTTGCTCACAGTGCTCTCTCTCTGCCATCTGAAATTCAAGAGGTTTGCGTGGCATTGATGGCTGTGCCACTTTTTCCCAACATTCCTCACTCCCAAACTTTTCTTTCCTTTTTACCCAGCAACTATACTATCACGCCTGAAAGATTTATAAAACAGGAAAAGTATTCCTGATTTTCAAATGAAATTTTAAGAAATAATCAAGATGTTCTCTTCTTTAGCATATGGTAAGGAAAAGAACTATACAAACTATAATGAAGACCAAGGTATGCTTTAGACAAATGAGGTCTGATGTGTTGGATACACTAGTTTAGCACCATCTTAGGTTATTTTAGATTTAATTGTTAACGAGAGTTTTCTTTGGGTCTAAATAAAAATGCTAAGTTGAGAGCCTGCAGCCTAACATTACCAATAAAACCCAGTTTAGCAGGTGCTCTGAATGATGAGTGAAGTTAAGATATAAACAGTTGGCCAAAGTAGGATTTCATATTGATTTACCAGAGCATGTCTCTGTCACAGAGCTGGTAACAGAGAGCAAGCTGTGCTTGCACCAGAGCTATAGGGCACGTTCCTCTAACTATGGTAAATAAGTAGTCTAGTGTTTAATTTCTTTTTTTGTTTAAGGTTTATTTATTTATGCATACAGAACTTAAAGGCCAGAGGTGCAGGGGTTGAAAGGACTCATCAGAGACAGAATGGGAAGCAGAACAGGCAAACTGACGAAGTACACTGCTTGGGGGAGCAGTGGGTGATACAGGAGAGATCTGCTGTGCCCTATGGGTCACTTCCTGGCCAGGGATCAAGCTTCTGCTGCAGTGGCTGCAGACAGCTTCATAGTGCTGCACTTTGACCTGTTGCTTCACCAGGAAGGGCCCAATAACTAGTGTTTAGTTTCTTAACACTGCAAACTAGTCAGACAGTAAAAATGAAGTGGGAAAAAAAAAAAAGCAAAATATAAGTTAATATATACGTATGTTACTATGTAACAGACATACATATACTTCTATTAATCATATATAATAGTCACATTGCTATACAATTTTTCACCAGCTTTCCTTTCAGGTTCTTTTGTTATGGACTAGTTTGGATTATAATAACACATTTTTCATGTGGTAACAGTATAGTCTACAGGGATAGGAGTGAAATAGTTACACTTTAACTTCAGTAAATGATTAAGATGATACTAAGGCACAGATTTCAAAAGAACCTGTCTGAGATGGTAGTGTATTTCAAAATCACTGTCATACTTTTTAACAAGCTTAAAAAAAGAACTTTTTAGCAAACTACTTAATATCCATGTTTCTTCTACTAAAGGACCTTAGAGGAGTGATGTTGGGGATATAATGAAACAATAAAAACATGGTGTATCTAAAATATAAGAACTTCAGAACATGTTGAGATTAGTTTTGGTACTGATTACAAAAACCTAAAGATTTTCTTTCTTTTTTTTTTTTTTTAAGATGTATTATGCATACAGAACTGGGGTGCAGGCCAGAGGTGTAGGGAGTGGGAGGGTTCACCAGAGACAGAGTGGTGAGCAGAACAGGTGAAATACAGTGCTGAGAGGAGCAGCAGGCAAATCAGGAGAGGTCTGCCTGGTCATAGGATGACCTCTGGGGCTGGGATCAAACTTGGACCAAAGCGGGGACCAAAGCGGCTTGCTTGCAGTGCTGCATTGTAACCGTTGTGTCCCCAGGAAGAACCCCCAGATTTTCATTCTTGTAACTGTTTTGAATTGTAATTTTTTTTTTTAAAGATTTATTTATTTGTGCATACAGAACTGGGGTACAGGCCAGAGATTTTCATTCTTGTAACTGTTTTGAATTGTAATTTTTTTTTTAAAGATTTATTTATTTGTGCATACAGAACTGGGGTACAGGTCAGAGATGCGGACGGTGAGAGGATTCACCAGAGACAGAGTGGGATGCAGAACAGGCAGATCGACGAAGTACACTGCTGAGGGGAGCAGCGGGTGGGTCAGGAGAGGTCTGCCGCGCCATGTGGTCACCTCCGGCAGGCGGGAATCGAACTCATGAGGAAGTGGCTTTAGATTCTTAGTGCTGTGCTTTAACCTGCTGCGCCACCAGGGAGGGCCCTGAATTGTAATTTTTAAACTTTTGTTTTGGAGCAGACATTTAATAATGAGTAAACAGCCCTACTTTCCATTAAAATTGTAGAAACTTATCAGCAATTTGGAATCTGAAAGGTCTTTTTTGGAGCGTGACATTTCCTAGTGACTTTGAATGTTCCACTTAGACCAGTACTTACCGCCAAACCTCACACTGTCTAGTATTTTTCTTAGTATTTAACTTCATTATATTCTCATTTTTAGCTTTATTATTATTATATTATATAATTTAAAAATTATTATTATTATTACTATGTGATAGTTTTGAGTCTAATTACCATAACTGATCCATTCACAATAAATACCTTTGGACTTACAGTTACCACCAAATCAAAAGTTCAGGTCAAAAGGACATTTATTCCTCCAGCAGTTGGTGCTTTATGAAGCAGGTTTGACAAAGTTGCCTTTTAGGGACTTTTGCATCTATGGTGTATTAACCTTTTATTCTCTTTTGGTAATGCCATAGATTTTACACATTTTTGGAATTTAATTTTTAAAATTTCATAGCTTAAATGGCATTCCCTTTATTTTACCCATATTTGGAAATCACTCATGAGATTAGTATCTCATAAGATTAT